CTAATTGTGTATGCACTTTTTTCTTTGATCTCTTTTTCCCCTGGAGAGCGCCCGTTGTTTTTTGTTTGCTCATTTTTTCTTTCTCTCCTTTTTTGTTTTTTGTTTTTATTTGTTTTTAAACCGAATTTAGCGTCAAGGATCACCGTTTGAGGGAAACAAAAGGGAAGAAGAAGAAAACAAGAAGAGGGAATGAAGACGCCCATGCCTTCTTCGAAAAGCGTTTTTTGCTGATCCAAACGGGGGCCGCCAAACGACCGCAGGGGGCCCTTCTTTTTTGTTGTAACCCTTTCCCATATGAGAGAACCAGTCTGCGAGAAATCTGATCGAGTAAACCCCACCAGATCTCTCTACTCTCACTTTTCTTACCCATAACCCGTCCTCAAGTCTCCTTTTTGTTATTATTATTATTTTTTTTTTTGTGATAGATTGGCCTCAATGAACTCCTATTTATTTTGTTGTTTGTTTTGGTCGGTGACAGACGTCTTGAGTTTACTCTTCTATCAAGGTTTCCATATTCGAGCTCGTCGCTGATTTTAGAGAGGTGGGGAGGCCTTACAGAGGTGGGGGAGGTAAGCTGCGTAGGGATTCTTGGGTGTGAAGACTGTGGCATAGCGTAGTTCCGCTCCGCCGCAATAAGGAACTGTGCTAACCACTTAAAAAAACATAGTTTCATCAGGGGTATATCATCAACTATCGCAAATTGAACTCGCAGTGGATGAAGAGCGGGGCAACTCAAGAGGTGCAGAGCTGTTTCTTCGCATTCGTCGCGTTGGCTGGTGTGCGCTCGAGTGGGTTGATACCCGTGTCGTGACATTCGGTGTAGAGTTAGGCCCGACTTACTCATACACATTGGCGACCGCATGGGGGGCAAACTAATGCCGGAAGGACTCTCGTTTTCGTTTTCTTGTATCGTGCGTCGTGGTGGAATTCGATTTTTGTTTTTGTTGACCTTGTCCTTCATGGAATTTTCTGCAGTGGAAGAAGAGGGAGTCTAGGTGGGCGAAAAACTTCTGGTTTCAACAAGACGCTGACAAGTTGGCCGCCCGCCTTGGGTTGTGGAGGTTGTGTGCTCCCTCCTCCCCCTTCTTGGGGTGATGGATAAAAAAAGAAAAAAACGGCAAAACCCGACAACGAGCCTCGAGCATTGCGCACGTAGACTGGTTGCCGGGTTTCATCCCTTTTTTTTTCCTCTCATCCTCACTCTTCTTTTTTCTCTCAAGTTCAAAATCCCTGAGCATGATATTTCAGGCCTCAAGGTTCAGCGCCTCGGGACGTAAAGTGCCCCTCGAGCCCCGCCGAAGCGAAGCACGCCGCTCACACACAAACCCCACAGACGCCGCAGTGGAGTGGTCCAGCAACACAACGGTGTCCTTCCCACTCACAGTGCACACACACACAATGACAGTCTCACACGCTCATGTCAGAGAGGCACTGCGGCAATTCACTAAAATGTACACTAAGTCACACACCTACAGAGAGAAAAAGAAAAACACAAAAGAAAAGAACAACAACAACAACAGGATACCAACAGCACACAAGGCACTCACAATACAATAATCACAGCTGCCACTCTCATCAGAGAAAAACATTCACCCACACCAGCACATCAACTCAACCCCAAAAAGAAGAAAAAAAACAGACCCATTACGTGAAGCCGAAGCGGAACACTCTCAGTCCACCTCCCCGCAGGCTGCAGTCACTCAAGCAAACCACACCACAAACAACACACACCACAAGAGCTGTAATATCTCCGTGGCAATACCGTGAGTGACACCACCGAGAGAGAAGGTGAGAACAAAGAAATGTGTTTTCATTACGTGGGCGGTGTGAGTGGCAACCCAAACACACAAAGGGGAACACACAACAGAGGGGCACACTCAAACACCCACAACCCACCAATCTTTATACCAAAATAAAAATGTAAAAAAAGAGTGACTGCGTGAGGCAGACACAATAATGGAGCAAAGATGTAAAAGAAAAAAGAAATTCATTACTTAAAGTGGTTGCAATGCCTGGAGACAGCAATGTTTATCGTATAATACCAGGCGGAAAACTATTGTATAATGAATGTGTAGTAACCATAAACATGTATTATTTATACTGTCCCAGAAGTATTGTATATAACAAAGAAACATTCCACAAAAATGAGCACACAAGATACATAAGGTGTATCAGAAACAAAAAAGGAAAAACAAAGCAGTATATAAGGATCAAAATAAGTCCACTGTAAAAACAGAGACAAGAAAGATGGGAAGAGTGTATAAAACAATTGCTCTGCAGTGGACTGCGTGCCTGCACTGCTTCACGGTGAGGGAAACCACAAAGCACCACGCCTATTGGCTCGACTGAGGAGCACACCACCAGGTGCAGCAGAACAGAGCAGACCCACCCACACATCACCATGAGGACACAGTAAATGGCGGCAAAGCAGAACCCAGATAATAATGCCATCAAACAAAGAGGACACTCCCCTCACAAAATGATGGTTTGTCATGTGATGAGTGCCATAGGGAGCCCAATAGATGTGCTTACCAAAAAATGCAAACAAGTGATTATCAAACTGAAGAAAAAGAAACATTAAAATTCAATAAAAAAAACAGTACCCTTAAACTGCGACCATGTCCATTCAAACAAAGGTTAACTGTGCAACTGTGTTATGGGAACACCAATCAGCACACGAGAGTGCAACCCAACACACACAACAGCAGAAGCAACAATAAGGGACTGTGCACTAATGCAGGACTGTTGCTGTTGTCATTCCCATTCGTGGCTGTTTGCGTCCGTTCCTCTTCTTTGTCAGGCTTTTTTGACTCTTCTTCAATCCTTTCTTCCTGCTCTGGTTTGGCTTCTGCTTGCTCTCCAGCATTTTCCTTATTCTCTTCTTTTTCGTGTGTCTCCTGCGGCTTCTCTTCAACATCCTGTGGCTCTTCTGTTTCCTTTGGCGGTTGACCTTTATCTTCACTCTCTGTTTCCTCTTCTGGTTTCACTGAGGGCAGCTTTTCCTCTTCTTTAACCGGCACCTCCTCTACCGGAGGCAGAAATTCCTTTTCTGCCTTCGCTTTTGCTTCCTTCAGTTTTTCAGTAACGGTGACGTTCCTCTCCACTGCTATTTTTTCTAATCCTTCATTATCCATGATGCCTGCTGGAACACTTATGAGCTTTGAGAGACTTCCCAAAGACTGCATGAGGGTTCCTACTGCTTTACTCGCGTCATCCATGAGTTCATCGACCTTCTCCAGTGGATTGAGTTCATCTTGCGCGGAATTGAGCCGTTCTTTGAGGTTAAGTAACGCTTGCTTTGCTTCACTAATATTCTTTTTGAGTTTACCTTTTTCTGTCGTTTCTTGCGCTTCGTTTGGATGTACACCCAAAAATTTATTTCCCGCGTCAACAAGTTTCTCCATGTCTTCATTCACGTCCCACGTTTGATTCTCACATGAATGTTGCAATATACGCATGTCTATCAGAGATATTCTCAAACTGCCAATAGCATTCACATTTTTTTGTATACCATCCTTTCTTCCTTTCATCCACTCTTCTGGCTCCAACACTCCTCGTTCCTCTTTCAATTTCTCGATCTCTTTAACAAGACCCTTGATATTGCTCGTAGCAAGTTCAACACGGTCGGAATTTCCTTTGCATACTTTCGTATTATCCTCTAATACAAACAGACAACCATACATATGCACAATGTGCTCGTATACCTCGGCCACCGTCTTGCTTAACTGATTCACTTTTTCCGCTTCAGTTAACTCAATGGGTGAAGGACCCTGCTCAACGCCATTTGCACTTTCCGCATATGCCACACAAACAAAGCACTGCACAAGTACCAACAGGTACACCACACGGCGCAGTTTGAACATCATCGTTGTCATGATTGTCACTGTGAGTTGCTTGGATCTGTGGTAACAAGGAAGAAGAGGAAAAGGAGAGACAACAAGAACACAAAGAGCAGTGCAAACACAACATCTACACAGAAAGAGAGTGAGAGTACACAAAACAACGTCAATCAAACCACTCACACAACAACAAAGCAACGCGACGCGGTCAATCAATCTTACCACTTCACAAAAACGCACTCTCAGGGTTCAGTATGGATGTCAAAACAACACCTCCAATTACGAAAAAAAAAAAACACAAAAACAATGAAGAGAAACAGCACCATGGGAATTCACCTGCAGATCACAGTTATCCCACTCGGCAATAATATACAACGTGCCTCTATCTATCTATCTTTCACCCATGGGCCAACCTCATTGCTCGAAAGGTCGGCATCCCCCAAAACTGTTATAAGACCACTGAGGAGACACCAGCAAACGCAGGACCCCATCTCATGGCATAGTACTCAAGGAGCACTCCCACATGAACGTTAAATGTAACACCGCAACCCATCAGCCATCACAACATCCACACGTCAAATTCCCTGTAGTTGCATCACGGGCGCACGCAACATCGGCACCCCACTACTGCAAAGAATTGCACCAACGACTGTCACCATCCCTCATTAGCTCATGAACACATCACAATGATATTGTCTACTGTGCGCACACGTTCATTACACACGCCTGTCTCCCGCTCCTCTTTGTGTGTATTGGATCCGTGGCGCATATCAAAAATACACGAGTGACCCAATCGGAAATAGAACCTCCAAACACCACGAGATCACGGACACCATCAGGTGAGCAACCGCAGGCCAAATGAAGTCGGGCGGCACCACCTGAAATCGCACATCGCTTTCATAATGCCGGAGATTGGGAACAATCACCTTTGCATGGGATGTGAAAACACACTCGCGAGAGGAAAAGAAAGATGCACATCATCAACAGTATTCGGAATGAACACGCGACCCTGGGGGCACTAGACCAGGAGAGATATTCACCTCGACGCTGTTAACAATGTCCACGCAATCAAGCACAAGAACAATCAAAACCAAAGAACAATGTTTTCAACAAACGCATAACCGGAGAAACGTTTACAGCATACACACAACAAATATGTGCATACAATTTCCATCATCCCTTCCCCACAAGACCACCCCACCGATGTATATAAGAAAGGTTCGATCCAACATATCCCCTTCCACCCCCCTCCCTACCTGGGCCAGCCCACCCCATGGGAGGCAGAGGCCCACATCCAGAGCGCAACGCGCGGTGCCGCAAACAAAAGCGCAACCACCACCAGCACATGTAGAAAACACAAATCACGACGGCAAAAACCAGATGGCGCGCCTGGCGCCACCCCCCCAAAAACACAGGGGTGGGGGTCCGACCCCGCC